CCCCCCCCCCCCCCCCCCCCAGTATGACTATAGAACCAAGTTTTTCTTGGGGCATCCAAAAAAGAGTATTCTCAGCATTTGAGAACTGAGTTTTACAAAGACTGAAATTCCTGTTGTTTGTTTATTCATTCAATTTATACACCACTTCTCATATCTAGAAAAAATAACTTGCATCAGTCGTGTGGTTAACCTAGACTATACCCGTCTGCCATTTCACACAAATCCCAGACTGTACAATTCAGCATGTGTAGCATTTGTCTCAGCAGGAGTGATCTTCTGAATCTGGTTTGTGAAGCATCATGGTTGGTATCATTGTTGGTTCCCAAGTTATTGGGAAAACAATAGCTTGGTTTACTATCACCATCTCCTTCCAGGCATAAGGCGTGCCCTCTGCAGGCATTTTGGTTTGCCCTTATGGCAAACTCTGATCTATTTTTAGCTGCATTGCACACAGGTAAAATATGGAAAATCTGCTACAGTAGAGGCTTTGGACTGGTTGTGTGCTCTTCATTTCTGTTCATTGTTTCCTTTCTTGCTTCTCTTACAGAGATTGACCATTCCAAGCAGCTGTCCTGGAAGCTTTGCCGAGTTGATGCTCCAGTGTTGGGAAGCAGACCCAAAGGTACTTCTTTCGGTTGACATGCTGTTAAGTGTATCATTGGTTACTGTTTTAATTGCACTGGGAGAAAATATGCTGATGCTGAAAATGGGAGACTTAGAGACCCTTGGCATATATATGATTTAAACATGCTGATTGTTGGCTTCTCTGATACAGAATTATTTAAGAAAGTAAGCAGGTCAAAGAGTGGATCATCATTAGCCAACAAATATCCCGTTTTCTACTAATGAATGGAAGTTCTGGAGTAGGGTTTGTATTTTGTTACAGAATTATTTTGATTGTATTTATTTATTTATTATATCACATTACATTTCTAAATATTCTGAGCCATACAATACATTAACATGACAACAAACCAACCGTAATGACAATGACAACTCTTGACAATCCCCTGTTGCCTATTTTCGTTTTGGCATGTCTACGTAGTACTCACAAGGGAGTGGCTGGATTCCAACTCCCAATATTCCTGCCCAAGGGCTATGCTCATGTGCTATACCACAACACAACTGGAGGGCACCGGAATGGAAAAAGCTGTGGGCTGAAAAATCCAGTTATGATATTCATTCCTCACGTGCAGGAGATATTGCACAAGAGTTGCCCTACGATATAAGGGTCAGGCAGGATCTTGGAGATCACTATATATAAGATAAGTGCAGATAAAAGAAAGAATATCAGATCAGATCTTTTTACAGTCCTGAAAAATAAGCAGCAGTAATTTGTGTTTCCTCCTGGATTAGTTTACATATGACTGAAGCCACTGCCCTTAGCGGAATCAGTGATAGGCGTTTGTTCAGGCCAAGGAAAACTGAGGGTTGGATTTTTGATTCCACAAATTTTTAATATAGTTTCCCCCCCCCCCCCACAATCTGTAATGTAAGTGGGGATCCCTCTGTACAGCTAGAGGAAGCTATTCATAAGGTTAAAAAAAAAATCTGTATCTTTAATGGCAATTAAATAAAACAAGATAAATGTAGTCAAATAAGTAGTAGGGGAGATAAAATTCCTACTGAAATCAGTGTCACATTTTATATTCAAATAGCCAAATATTCTGAGGGTAAGATCTTTTTCTTGGTGGCAATACTGCTGAGAAGGTTTTTCAATCCCTGTGCTGATATGACAGAGCTTTCCCCAGTGGTTTTCCCTTATAATATTCTACCACAAAAAAGCTCTTACAAGCTTTTATTATCTTTCCTTTTCCATGAAAAGAAAAAAAAAGGCATAACTTTCTGCATCCTGCAACTATTTTTGCAATTATAGTGAACCTCAATTTAATAAACCTCTGTTCAGGATACAGTGAACCAGATTTCTGCCTGGACATCTCCCTGAAGTAATGGATGGGCCTGTGGCATCCAAAGTAGTCTGAAGGAAGCAGTTAAATGTTAATTTTATGACGTTCATAATGACCTACATCATTTGTGTAGTGAAGTTATCATGCAAGTTAAAGTAATGAAAAATGAAAAAAAACTATTCTTTCCTGATAAATTATGGAAAGATAGATACTAAACTGTTTTACTCAGAAACCAATTAAATTTCATTTTTTAAAAAACTTCACATCATTCAGTATTTATGGGTATTAAAACACACTAATGTTAGCATTTGGCAGCTTTGAACTCAAGATGATCCAGAGTGTAATTAATGCCAATGAAATGTGTTCCATTTTAGTATTTCTTGCAGTATGTGTGTGTATGTGTATGTGTATGTATAGGTATATGTATATGTATAGCCCCTCTTACCCCTGTGGATGCTATGTGCCTTCCTCAAGCTCAGATCTTCTACCAAAGGCCTGGGAGTTTGAGGGTTCTGCGCAGTATCTCAGCTGTTCCTAGCCCTGCACTTTTCTGGACAGAGACCTCTGATGTTGTTCCTGGGACCTGTTGGAGCCACGCTCCCAGCTTAGGAGTCACGGCCCCGAGTGCTCCTACCACCACTTTGGCCTTTACTCTCCACATCCTCTCTAGTTCGTCCTTCAGGCCCTGGTACTTCTCCAGCTTCTCATGCTCCTTCTTCCTGATGTTGGTGTCACTTGGCACCACTACATCTATCACC